TGGATATTTACATACACTCACGCATTTGGATCGGAAGTAAACTGTGAAAGTTGCCACATGCTGTACTTTGATTCTCTAACAATCGGATTTGCTGAATTGTGATCTGTCTCATTTTTATCACTCGTCACATCTATCACAATCTATGGTGCCAAAATTAACACATCCCATATGAGTGTCGCAAGTCCGGAAATTTCCAGACTCATCACATTAGGTGGTCGAGGGAAAATCTAAGATTTGCGCAAGAAATCTGGATTTTTGATCTTCTCTTAATCCAAAGAAGGCGTTATGTTCCATCAAAGCGAACTGTTTCCCTTAAGAAGAAGAGTTTCTCTACGATGAGGAGATATGCATACATCTGGTGGCCGCAATTCTGCATGCCTAAGATGCCACTCGTTTTCACATCCCGGATAAACTGATGAGTTTGAAATCGGATGGGAGATCCAGTCACCTCGATTTAACCCGGCTACACATCACTTAACATGGGAAAGAGGGTCACTGTGTTATGTAACCCATGAGATGTTTTCAAGGTTTTCCCCTATACCGAACATCTGTTTTAGGACGAAAAAATACTGAAGTTGATGAATTCTTGGTGAGCTCAACACCGGTTTTCTTCTTTCAGTTTGGATTTAGAACCAAGCAATCTATAATAGCTCCAAGGTTGCAGTAAGTTAAGAATTTCAAACACGAGTGCAATTTGGATTTGAATAAAGCTCTAATATCTCTTGATCTTGTGGGCTGGGACAAATAAGTCTTGACTTGGAGTAATTTTTCAAGAGGGCTGAGCTCTAAAGTCTGATCGGCTTTGAAGTAAATCCCATTATTGTTTAGAGAAACAGACGACTAAAAACTTAATTGAAATGTATGGTCATGGGTGCATGCTCATACTGACAAAATTCACGCGAAAACCGAGAACGCACTTTTTTTCTGCCTCCTTTTAGCATAAAGTACTCGGTACGTAAATGGCTCAGTAGCCCTCATCAGAAATAATATACACATCTGCATTTAAATAAAAACGCTATATTGTGTTCACAGTGGTATGCTATTTCACCGGACAACAGTAAAAAGAGATTCTGTTTTCTAGAACTCCATAGTGCGCGTGCACGGACGGCATGCTGGCACAGTTTATTCCAATTAATTCTCACAACTCATAACACTAAATAGCAACTTTTGGATGCGGGGAACTACTTGAAAAAGAGTAAAATCCAGTTGCTTCGTGTCGGCAGATCTGTTATTTATATATTTGTTTTAAATGCTCGTACCCTTGATCTGTACAGAAGTGCCAGTTTTGTGAATATCATTGCTGATACTCCCTTGAAGTGAAACTAAGAATATCATTGCAAGCTGGAATGCAGCTCGGATTTTTGTCTTTATCTCTCTTCTTTAAAGAGGCTTGAAGAAAGTTTTCAAGTAGTTATTTTCCGAAAGGGTTGGGCTAATTACACGGCCTCGCTTCAAGCTGTAGATATCGGGTTGAAACGAGGACGCAGTAATACCTAATACCTTAACTGGTGTAAAGTATAAGAACGTTTCCTTTTTAAATCGTCCTATTCAAATCAAAAAGCCATGACGTGGCTTTTTATTTAGCCCAACCTATGAACTTCTCTGTTCCAAAGAACTTTTTATTACTAAAAATATCTGCTATACTCTCGTATCTTACTTAAAATTCTTCAATCATCCTAAGAATTATTTTGCTCGTTATCCTACTACAGCTGGTCTCTCAGAAAACTATCGTTTACCAAAGTTATCAACAAAGAAATCGTTTTCATTTTGATCAAATCTTTTCTAAATCAAAATCGACGTTTATTTCTATACTTTCACCTAGCAACTAACGCTGAACGCAAGATGGAAAGACACCCATCTTTTGAAGTAAGCCCTAAGCTCATCACCTGAGAGCGCGGATAGTGAAATCGTGTCACCCCAAACTGAATTGCCTACTTGTTTTATTGTTTCCTTGCTTTTTTCCAATGGATTTACCCAGGAAGGTTCCGCATTCATGCACATCTCTATATTAGAGGACCCCGCCGCGCCTAGTCTCCAATGAAATGAAAATGAATTTAACTTGTTGTCTTCGTTTGATTGTATTTCCATGACAATAAACCACAATGTCCGGTCGCGATAACGCGATGAAAAGTCCAGATATGACGATACTACGTGATCGATTGCAATCCCAAAAACCAATATGTAATCCCTTCAAATTTCACCTTTGAGCCGCGCTACTTACATTGAAGGTTTTTAGAGAAGCAGAAAGCGATTTTACATGTTCTGATACAGCCTTCTCAACGACAAATTCTTAAAAAATAACTGCTCAATAAAGCAAATTGTTAGTTTAAAATTTTATGCTAAAAATAAAAACCATTCATTACTCATGTTTGAATGTTTCAAAGTTTTCCTTTCCCGGCGATGCTTAGCAACACGGCTAACAATTCTAACATCATTAATTTCAGTCGCCTATTAGGCACGTATAGATAAATCTAAGAATGGACGTTAATGCTGCTCTCATTCTCTAATTAACAAAAAGGTGTTCCGTCAAAATCAAAATTTCCTCTCAAACGTGATTTACAACGGCTAGTAAACCTAAGTTGGAGCCTATCAGGGATGAGTTTGAGGGATATCTATTGTTTTGTTTTGCTGTACAAAATTACTGTGGAGATCAGTTGTGACGATAATAGTTTAGTAATAATAAGCAGGAATTTTGGGTTGAGCCAATGTACAGCAGCCAAAAACAGGGTCTAGTAAAATTTTTGCCTGTTCAGGTAGCACGAGTAAGAAATCAACCCACATTTCTATGGGACTACGTAGCTAGGATTCTCCGCATTATAAAATTTTATTTTTCAACCTGCTTGTCTACAATGAAATCATAAACATTTCATTACGATTGCTTTCAATTGAGAGACGATGTCCGAGATCATTTTGCCATATTTCAGGACGTTCAAAAGAAAATTTTGATAGAAGCAATAACGATTGATGGCTTCAGTAGGAAGATTATGATGAGTGAACATTCTCGTGATTTTAGTTGCAGCTGAAAATATTTACGACGTTCAGAAGTCTGAATTTTGTTTAAACAGATGTCGATCATGTTGAATTTAAAACAAATTTCAGAGGTTCGCAGTTACAAACTGACAACATTTATCGTAAAATATTGGCTAGACTTCAAACGAGTTGTTAATTTTTTTTATGAAAGAAAACTTTAGATTTAAAGACATCGTTGATTCACAAGTACAAGCCTAAGCAACTTGTACGGATCTTGGTACAATAGTTATTTCTGATGATAATCTAACTTTACTCAAACATCTTGCGATCTTCATTACATCATGACTGAAACTGCCTCCTATAAATGATTTAGAGCGAATCAACGGTCTTCACGTTATGATTCGAGCCTACAGATACAAACAGCACGAAGAAATATTACGTTTCTACCTAATCGTGCGATTGTTATACATTATATCCAGTTTATTTGCGCAAAACCGATGTTGACTCGGCCCGACTTGCATCAAAATTTGAAGCACGAATGAGATTTTATAAAATTACCGAAATATCTAATCCCCTTCGACGAACGCAATTTGAAATTTTTCCAAACAAGCGTGTGTAAAATTTTGTAATTATCAGTCATAATTTTGCTCGAAACTTCATGAAATCGATCATAGAATTATAAAATCAAAATTTTATTACATTACTAGGCAACGGATCGAAAAATAACATTACAAATGCTTGATGGTTTTTGGTCCAGCTCTAAAGTAGTCTTTAAGAAACGGATGTGTTCAAAAGCGTTCGTTGTTCTGCTCATTGTCTTGTTAGTCTTAAAAAATCGAAGAACGAAAATAGATCATGAATATGTTGGTCCTCAAAGTCTTCATGAACAGAGATCTTGACAAGAACTTCAGTGAAAACGTAAGGGGGCTTTTGTATGACACTTAAAACTACTTTGAAAATATAATTTTGATGGGCTCAGTCGGCGTAAAAAGCGAAGAGGAGCAGTTTTGAATACAAATGTTCACCAACACCTGCCATTTTCGAATCACATATCATTCCCGCGGAAAATGAAAACATTCGAATACACACCCAATTCCAAGCCTAGGTTTTCGTTACAACTTGACATGACTAAATAACACTGCGAAAAATCTATACCATCATAAACTGTACTTACAGAGAGAGATCTTTGTGATCAGTTTGTTCCCGAGGTAAATCTAAAATCCTGCAGATGAAAGAGGTTTGAAGATATGAACTGCGCGAGTAACATTAAACAATACGCCACTCCCAATCCACCAATGGCGATTATGTATTCGAATCAAGCCAATAAAGTTTATGTTTACCTCTTGCGTTCTCTAAGCCGTAAGCCTTCCATTATGTTCTAGACGCTTCGCGAAGGAACGCCGATTTCTTCCAGCACTTTAAGAAATTCTTCGTCATGAGAACCCCAAAAAATGAATGTTTCCTCGCTCATGTTTCTGTTTACGGCGAAAAGACCTGACGAGGAATGAACTTAGATGACTTTAGCCTGATGAACAGGTGAAAGGAAAAACACCAAAATTTATGCCAAATCTCTCTTAGCGTCCGTTCAAATTATATCATATTCTACGTTGTGATTGGGCAGGCGGCGAGAAGATTCATGCTTTATTGTATTTAAATCACAAATTTAATGAAAAAATATGCGTAATTCGAGTTTGGTTTCTTGAGGACGCGGCCAGATAAAAAGATCAATTAGATTACACGAGTCCTTCTGAAATAATTTATAAGTTGTTTCATTTTTTTGCCCTCAGGCAGACGTTTTCAATAGTAAAAACTGTTGTAAAATTGTCTTTCAAAATAGAAAACCATTTACTGAAAGACAAGAGTGTGATATTAGTTGTGCAGAAATGGATCGCCAAACACTAGATTTCACACACTAGTCAGATTAATCCGACATTTCACTCTCCAGTTTTCAAAATTTTCAATTCAAATTTGCTTGATGATTTTTTAGGAAATAGAAAAACATTTAATGAGAATGAAAGGTCAAATATCAGTGCCTGTACACTTGTGTTTGTATAATATCTTTAAGACTCAAAATTTCTAGATACATTCATTTCCGGCAACATCTTCCACCGAGGCTTCAGAATCGCCACTAGTTTCGATAGTTTACATTCCTTTCGAAAGATGTAATTTAAGAAGTGTTTCCACTCTAATAACTTCGTTTTCTCCTTCTGTAATGACCAGATTAATTTTCAGGCGAGACAAATTTAAGTTCATCATCTGTAACCGTTTACGCAACAAAGAAAATTTCATAACACATACAGTACTTGGAGCAGTTCCCAATGTGTTAGAAAGGTGAATTTCGTGATCGATGACGCTATAGACAATTCTTTGCAGGTTGAATTGCGTTTGAGATGGAGATTTCGCAGAATCAGTGTGAAAAACATACTTTGACCTGTAGGGGTCGTACATGTAATTTTGTTAATCGTATGACGTCACCAGAACCAAATTCAAAACCAACATTGAACATTGGGATTTTTTATGTCCACTTATCCAAAGAAAAGAGGGTATTTACAAATTGGAGGAATTTTTAACTAAAGACATTGTCTCCACTAAAGATATTTGTTCTAGGTGTATTTTTTTTTTAATTGAAATGGTTACCATTAATTGGTAACAGGACTTCTTGTTGTCCAATTCTGTCTGTAATCATACTTGTGATCAACAAATCTGACTCCCATTTTGCATTCATCTGATTTTGTTCATCACTCACATGATTACAGACCAAATTGGACTCCACTCAACTCTATTATCATTATTTACTTCTCAATTCTGAATAGTTTGGGAGAAAAAAGGTAATCCCTTAATAATCTTTTAATACCAGGTATCATTGTAATCAAGATTTTGTATCTGCTTTCCCAGATATTCAAAGTTCAGTATGGCTGGAGTGAGTTTAAAGTGTAACAAATTTTCAATTGCAAGGATTGTGCTTTTCAAGAAGGGTTGTTGTCTCCAACCAAATAAGTTTGATATGAAGAAAGGTAGATAATCCATGGGTAAAAAATCTTTTTATCCTTCAAAATTGTTTCATATTGGTCAAATCAACAAATTTCTGAACTTGTAAGAAGTGAATATTCAAAGAACAGTGAATTGATTTTGCAGCTAAGAAATGCAGCTCATTTAGAGAACCCACTTTAAATTATTACAAGTACCTAAATTAATATTTTTTTACAAATACATCAGAAGAACTAAATTATTTCCTTTCCAAGACTAATATTTAGATAGTTCCACATGTGCAACACTGTCATTTGGATGTACAGAACAAACTCAGGTCTTCTTTATTCACACAGGGGCTATTAATAGTTTCTAATTGACTCCACTGTTCCAATATCCATGCATTAAGTTTCCTTCTGTTTTTCCCACTGTGCTGGTTTCATTGTTTTCAGGGTCAGTGCATGAATAGTCTTCAATTCCTCTGCTAAGCAATTATTCACCATTCGATGCTGGGCTAGAAGAGGCTTCCCTTCAAACTTGTCAGATACAACAAGTATTGAGAACTTTCCTCCACACCCATCTGACAGGTCAACTACTTCCTATATTTTCAAAAAAGTAAAATATGTTTAATACTAATGGTCATAAAATTGGATTTAAAGTGAATCTTGATTTTTTTTCAGTTCCATGCTGATCAAAATAAAAATATATCTTGAACCACTACACCCCTTGGAGTGACCAAAAATGAATTTCTCCTTACAATATAAGAACTGTAAGGCAGACAGAGCAGGGGATTGATACCTAGATCATGGTCCTCGAGTTTCACTCCTGAGTGAAAAGGTTAACCCTTAACTCTCAAGATCCAATCAGTATTTCTCCCTTCTAATTTCTATAGATTTGGTTGTAAATTGGACACGAGAATTTGGCATTAAATCAAGATGACATCCTCTTGCTGATGAGCTTGTCTGTTCTCATAACCTTTTTGCAAGATATCATATTGAAAATAGCAAATTAAAAAATGAAAAAAAAAACTATCTTTAAGACTGTTGTTAGAACAGTATGAGGTTATACGGAAATCTTTCCCAAAGAGTTCTGGACTACATCTCAAAATGAATGATTTAGAAGTATGATAAAAAATGAAAGAGAATACATGTGTTGGTTTTAATGAGCTTAAAAAGTTCAATTCCATGGGAGACTTAATCCACAGTTAACGAGAGGTTGAGTGAAGCAAACGAAGAATCAAAATTCACCACATAACTCATCTCCTTGTATAGAGTTTCAAAATGCTTTGTAATTCCTCGTTTTAGAGAAAATCTTGAAGGATCGAATGTTTATTTGAAGTGATTTCTTTCTAAGTTTTCTGAAGTCAATTCGAATTCATCTTGAACTGTACAATAGTCAGATCAATGCTAAATGTGAAATACTTCATTGAGGTGAAATTATCACCTATTTCATCGAGAATAACAGAATCAAAAATGTGAAAAACGATTTAGTATTCTTACCACATGTATAGGATTAAGCTCCTTCTGAAGCTTCTCTTGTAGAAATTCACAGGTAATTCCACTCATAGCGCGTTTAATTCTCAGACCTAATTAAGAACTTCTATATTTCATGATGGGCTACATGACAAAATGCCTTACATGAAGTCAGCTGATCAATTGTACTGGAGGCGTATAATAAAGGACTAAAGATCCTGTAGAAAAACTAAAGGTAAATTGCTTGAAGTTTGGTCTGAAAAATGGGAAAGAAACAGCATCAGAAGGATAAGCTGTAAGTTTGATTGCTTAGGAAGGTCATTGTGTTTTTTAAGTGGGAAAGAAAAATATTACACTGTTCGGTCTTACGTTAAGAACGATAGAACCAGCTGGGCATGATCATAAAATGGAGGTTTTATTTTGTTTTACTTGTATTATGTCAAGGTATTTAACAAACAAGGAGTGGAGAGAAGAATGGGGTGGAAAGAAAGCTGGTAAGAAAATTGAATTTACCTATAAATAGCCCAAAAGACTAGTATACTCATCGTTAGCTTTCTTACTACGACCTTGAATTGTAACAGTTGTACAGTGTACTTGTTGCTCAGTATATCTCATGCGTGCATATCCTTCGTGATTTATTTGAGACTTTATCTTAGATCTTTTTCCCTCGGCTTTCGGAGAGCCATTTTTTAACTAATTTCTTTAAAGGATTTACCTATGGCTTTTGTTCTTGGGGTATTTTAACTCTGCAATATGTTGATGATACTGAAGATAATAATGCTGGGTGTATGGTTTAGTACACGGTGTACCATATGTTTGCAAACGACTTTGGAGTCTGTCCAGGAACCAACATGGGTAAGCGTGTAAGGGTGCTGGATTTCAACTTAGTCGTTCTTAATTCAAACATAGGTGGTTACTCAATAATGTTTTATTTGTGAGGAAAACTGTAGAAAATTC